AATTCTTAAATCAAGTGGATCCAAGCTGACAATAATGCCATATCCTGTTTGAACTTAAATAATAACAACATTTGTGTCTGGTTTACATTTTATAAATAATGGCTGTAACACATATTCCAAACACTCTTTTTTTTCTGTAAGAAAATGTTTCATACAAATTTGAGATTTGTAAGAATATTTTAAGAACAAATCCGAGATTAAGATTTTGAAAAGAATATAAACGGCAAAACTAGCCAAAAAACAACAAAAACAGCACTAGCCGTATGCTGGATGTTAATAACATTTCTGCAGGAAGTTATGTGTGTCATATCAAGCTTTATTGCCTGCAGTCTGCCTCCAAAACTTCATCAACGCCATCAAAGTCAACTGAAACGTATGAGTCGTACGTTATAATCTAATAATATTATTTTCAGCCTACAACTGGCAAAAAAAAAAACAAAAAAAAATATTCAGCCTGGGCAGGAAAAACTGCATGAACACTGCGAGATATGGTTTTATGTAAAACAAAATTCACAAAAATATTGTCAGTAAATAGTGAACAATTCATCATATTTGTCTGTCTTGTCACCATTAGATTCTGTAGTGATATCATAGAAGAAACCAGAAGTTGATTCGTTTTGAAGAAACGATTCCGCTTGATCTTGGAGCATAGCTTCTTTTACATCAACTGTGACCAAGGTATAAAGCCGATGTTCTGTCAAATTTTCCACAGCATATTTGAGAGAATTGAGTCCGTCGTTATCCATGCGTTGAGCGGAGTCCATTAGTTTATCAAACCTGTGGTTAGGTTAAAAAAAAACATATGAGAACTTACGCGACCTGCTGCAAATTGAGTGGTGATAACTAACTGAGGGCCCATTAGGGCAGGATCTGAGTATCCCACGTCCCATTAATTTATTTTTGCCTAAATATCCCTCATCTTTTAATTTCTATTGCAAAAATTGTTTTACCGAAATATCACTTATTCCAAAACCTCAAATAAGGCCTCCTTACTAACTTTCATTGACACTCTGTGTGTTGCATTTTGATCATTGCAGTTATAGCCACATACGTTTGCAGTAAAATCCGAAATTAATCCCTGGGATTCTATTTGTTTATAATCATTTTGCCGGAATTATATTCGGCAATTGACGGAGATTTGGAGGTATTTTCGGCAGCATTTTATCTTTTGAAGTTTGGTTCTTATATTGGAGAGAAGAAACTGCGCTTCTTTGAAGGAGGAGAGAACATAATGGCGCTGATGGTTTTAAAATTGTCTGGCTGAGTATCAACAAAACTTTAGGTGTATATTAGGCAGCGTCCAAACTTCACCGGAGGAATTTGAAAACACAGCTTTATTCCTAGAGGTCTCTACGGTTAGGCCTACCGTCCACACTAATCCGTCACGGAAACGGAGCTTTTCATAAACGCTCTTCAAACCGGAGGAATTTGAAAACGCCGGCTTTTTTATTTTAGTGTGGACGGAAAACATTTTGAAAACGGAGCTTTTCGAAAACGACGGTGTCACGATAGTCATGTGTCTTCCTTGAGCAAGTTTTCCTCAAGAACAAAATCCAAAATGGATGTTGACTGTTGCGTTTTTAAATTCCTCGGGCGTAGCGTGGACGGAAAACATTTTTGATGCGTTTTCAGAGTGGAACATTCGTTTTCAAATTCTCCCGGAGTAGCGTGGACAGGGCCTTAGAATTCTGGCCACGTCTAAAATCTTGAAAATCGCTGTATGGTAGAATACAAACTATATAGCCGTCATGAAAATTAATCAGAACGAACAAATCGTGTTATTTCTACTGTTTAAGCAAATACAATGCGTTTGACGCATAGACATATTTTTTAGGAGTAGGGCGAGCGAATCGAACACAGAATCATTACCAGCGACTATCTCAGCCTGGTATAGAAATTACCGGTTTGAGTCTTCCTCGCTAGTTTTGTGAAATTTCTTTATCATCTTGTATCTTCCTAATCGTATGGATGGCCGTGTTAGCTCAAGTCCTCTGGCCGATATTCTAAAAGTGAAGACATTCTACCATTAAGGAGCTTAGTCACGGTATTTTGAGTTATTTAGCCATGTACAAATTAAATAACCTTTACGTTGAAGGAAACCTGATAATAGTAGTTCACTAACATAGAAAAAACCTAAGAGATAACAATAAAACATAAACGGACATGGATGGTTAAAGATGGAGAAGATTAACACGGATTACAAACGCGGACGAACTTTTCAAACTGGGCAAACCGTGACGTAGCCCTTTTAGCCGGTTAAATATTCAGTTCGCTAGCGACAATTATAAAATGTTGTGACCAGGTGCTTTCTACTTCGTCTTGAGAAGATGTAATATTATGAAGCTTACATTAAGAAGACATTTCTGAGGTCGTCCATGGAGAAATGATCGACTCATATTTTCTTCTCACACCAGGAACAAGACTTTTAACCCCTTTTCACTTTGACTTAAAAAATAAAATTACCTGTTATAAAGATCATCATCTTCACCTCCCCATCCCCAAAACTTGTTTGAAAATCCGTTTATAAGTTCAAAGTGTTCCCTTGAGAAGGAACCAGCTCCTCCAAAGATTTGTTCATATGGCAAACTAAAGAGAAAACAAAAGAGATTTAATAAGCATTTCATTCCTGTAAGAGTGGATGAGGAGTTAGAGAGTTAATCTTCCATATAGGCCTTTTTCTCATCGTGATCCTTTAAAGATATTTTTAGAAATGGTATCCAGTTCCCCGCCGGATATTGTTATCACGTGCGGTGCCTGGATGTTTTCTTGGAGGTTGAAAAAGCTTCTAAAGCCTCTTGGGATGCCCACGTGAGCAAAAATCTGCGACACAGGATTGGCTACTTCAAAACCCTCCTGGGATTTCTGAAGTCGTTAATGATTTAAAAATAACTTGAGATGCATTGAGTAAGACCTATATGGGGGATTAACTCACTTACTCCTCATCCTCTCTTGATTCTTGCTAGTGGTATAAATTACATAAAGATATCCGAAGTCTACGAGCCCTGACGTGCATATTGTAAACAAGATAGTGAGCTTGCGAGTACTCGAAAGTTTTTCTTTAAATGTATCGTTCTAACTGACACAAGGCATTGGTTTTCTACTTGTATTTTGAATTCAAGACAGCCGTATTCGGAAGTCACTGCTGTGCTTGCGACATGTCCAATATCTGACCATCCAATCAGAGTAAGTGTTATATAATCACAAGTTTATTAAACGCAATGAGCACCATCCACTACATTAGGACTAGTTTGTAAGATTTATCCCAATCGGAAAATTTCCAATCTGTATTATGTTTCTACCCGACTAGTTTAAAATTCGCCGGCTCCCATACTTTACCGCCACTGCCTATGGTCTGGGAACCTAAACGGGACCTAAACATATATAGTAGAATCTTTGCTGACGTCATTGTTCACATTTTTCCTCATTGGCATACGACTTTGCGCATAGAAGGCATCATGCTAGACACGATTTTACCAGAAAAACTTAAAGAGCTTGTGAACCTTAGTAAGTGGTGAAATTTTTGGCTCTTTGGGTGTAATATTCGAGGAGAAATTGGCTTTCAAAAACATCAAAATTTCTGTGTGGCAAAAGCGCTAANTTGTTTACATTTTTCCTCATTAACATACGACTTTGCGCATAGAAGGCATCATGCTAGACACGATTTTACTTGAAAACTTAAAGAGCTTGTGAAATTTAGTATGTGGTGAAATTTTTGGCTCTTTGGGTGTAATATTCGAGGAGAAATTGGCTTTCAAAAACATCAAAATTTCTGTGTGGCAAAAGCGCTAATGAGCTCATACATTCTTTGTAAAATTTTGAGCTTTTAAACCCTCGTCGCACAAAAAGTATTCAATACATCGCGCTCAAATTCCCTGGAACAGTTAATCGTGCTGTGCCCTTTCAATATTCAGTATTAATCTCTTTGTAGCTCCATCAGAAACTGTTTCGCTTATGGTAATGAGGCAAATATTGTAAACAAAGATTCTCCTATTACGCCGGAGAATTTTGAAAACGCAGCTTTATTTGTACGGTTTGGCCTACCGTCCACACTAATCCGTCACGGAAACGGAGCTTTTTGAAAACGCTCTTCAAACCGGTGGAATTTGGAAACACCGGCTTTGCGTTTTAGTGTGGACGGGAAATATTTTGAAAACGGAACTTTTCGAAAACAATGGCGTCACGACAATCATGATTGCCCTGACCGAGTTTTCCTGAAACACAAATACAAAATGACCGGTGATTGCTGCGTTTTTAACTTCCCCCGGCGTCGTGTGGACGGAAAACATTTGATGCGTTTCAGAGTGAAACCTTCGTTTTCAAATTCCTACGGTATAGTCTGGACGGGACTTGAGATTTTTGATGTTTTCCGGAATTGGGGAAAAAGCCTGTTTCCAAATGAAACATTTATTTAAAGTTCTCCTGTATGCCTGTAGTTTAGTGTATAGTAACAATAAACGAAAGATAGGTGCTTTTGTTTATTGTAAATCTTTCCTTCAAACCTCTGGAGTTCCATCCGAGACTTACGCGGATTAATTGATCACATTTTCCTTTGTCTCCAGTCCCTGATGAGAGCTTTGCCAGCGGAAGAGAAGGCCAAGATTGAACAGCTGACCGAGGGTCTGAAACTGGAGAAGAAGAAACTGGAACGAGAGTTGACCAAATGGGATGAGAGTGGAAACGATATCATTATCTTGGCCAAAAAGATGTGCATGATGATGATGGAAATGTCTGATTTCACAAGGTATAAATCACAATGTTTTTCCGTTTCGAGAAAATTGGTGGGCAAGTGAGAAAAACGTTGCCTTAAGGTTACCGTATACCTTTAGAGGTGTCTCGTGTCCAAGCGATTTAGCGCGTTCGGTTCAGCTCTAGATATCTAAACCCCTGTATCAAATTAAAGCTCAAAAAGCTGGCTTTCAAACTACACCGAGAAATTTCAAATAAAATGAATTGTGGAATTTTTCACAACCTCTAATGCGAACGTCCGAATCACCGTTTCGCCACCCCCCCGCCCCTGCCCCTAACCCTTGCATGTAGATTCTGCAGTCATAAACTACCGTCATGATTAGGTTGTGCTGTTTGCTGCTCCAGACTAGCAATGAAGTTGCCGATTTGTTGGTTGTTCTAGTTTTGTTGAGGTGTTTTAATGTTTTTGGTATGTCATGTTGATGAGAAATTTTCTGATTTTCTTGTCTAACCTGTTATTCTAATCACAGGGGTACCGGACCATTGAAAACCACCATGGATGTCATTGATGCTGCCAAGGTAGAGTATAACTTCACACCTCATGGCTGATGATGAGGGAAGCAGCTGTTAGTTTTTTTTTTTCTCAAGAATTGCGATGTTCCTTAAGAAACATCGCCGATTCGCAGAGGTTTTGAACCAGCGACGGAGATTTCAAGCAAACGACGTCTCCGTTAAATACATAGATTTCGTCACAATTGACTGTCAACTATGCCACATGTAATTGTGATGTATTCCTTGAAACATTGTACAATGAAGACGTGATGGTAAATTCGAATGCAGCCATAGCACTACTGGAAAAAAGACCTGAAAAAATTTTCAGACTTTGAACGGGATTCGAACCCACGACCTTTGCGGATACCGGTGCAATGCTCTACCAACTGAGCTATCAAAGCTACACGAGAGCGGTCGTGTATGGGTTGGCCTGCTACTGTTGGACATCTATTACTAAGGAATTTACATACTTGAGCTGAGTATTACGTCCACTGAACATAAAGGGCCAACCCACACACCACCGCTCTCACGTGGCTTTGATAGCTCAGTTGGGAGAGCTTTGCACCGGTATCGCAAAGGTCGTGGATTCGAATCCCGTTCTAAGCCTGAAAATTTTTTCAGGTCTTTTTCCAGTAGTGTTATGGCTGCATTCGCATCTATCATCACGTCTTCGTTTAAACTGCACCTAACCCCAAATTTTTTTCGCTAAAACGAATCTACATGTTATTCGAAATACTTCTGAGAAAAATTTTTGGATTCGGTTAAATGCTCGATTTTCTGTGCCCCGACGAAATCTCGAAAATAGCCCCAAAACAACGCCATTTTGTTTCACGACCGAGTTTGAGGAGAATGGGTCCAGCGGCTGTTGTGACGTCTACCCAGGAAGATCGAATATCTCACGTCCTCTCATTTCCTTTAGGATGGTGCAATACACATTCGAAAAGTGCGCAGAAATGCCTTCCAGAAGCGCTATCGGCTGTTGCAGCAATATTCCAGATCTAAAAAAAGATATATTGTACAATTTACTAGCGATGATCGGTCAATGGTACAATTAAGACATAACGATGGTTGATTTTGTCGAACCGAAACAAGCTACTGTTGGACATCTATTACTATGGATTGTACAATGAAACAACTTTTAAATTCGGTCTTTGTGATATCCAGACTATCAGTCGCCTTCGGCTTATAGCAGCTAATTTGACCCTTATTATTCTTGATGTCGCAGAAAACTCGTACGTTAATTTTCCAAAATATGACGTTGTCTGACTGATAATGTCTCTTCTTTATTGCAGAGAATTGCTAAAGCTGGAAGAAAGATGAATGAAAAAGCTACGGAAATAGCACGGAGGGTAAGTTCTTACTAATGTTTTGGCTTTATTTTATGGTGATAATGATAGAAAGGTAATATTGATGACTTCAAAATGTTTTTTTGTTTGTATTTTGCCAGTGTCCCGACTCAAGTTCCAAGAATGACTTGATAGCGTACATACAGCGCATAGCACTGTATTCTCATCAGCTGACCATCACAGCTAGAGTGAAGGCCGATGTGCAGATGATCAGTGGAGAGCTTGTCGTGTCTGGGGTAATTTTCTCTTTGATCGAAGTCATACCGATGTTCTTGTTTGTGAATCTTGGTAATGCTGCTGTGCAATGTTCTGGCGGTTTCCTCTTGCAAAGTCAATTAAAATTTCTCCCTCAAGTGTCCAACTTCCGTTAGAGTTTTGGTCATTTTGCCACGTCTGTTTCGAAGAGTAAGAAATAGTTTGCCCTTTGGTCGACTGTTTATGAAGAGACTGCGAGAAATTAGCGACAGGTTGAGGTCTCATCGCTGGACTGAAAACCGCGCTTCAAAATTCCAATTTGTTGCTCAAGTTATGGAATATGTTGCAGAATTTAAAGCGCGGTTCCCAGTTTGGCGATGTGAACTGAACCTGTCGCTAATTCATACACGGGAAGCCTCAATTAAAATAAAATCCTGTAAACGTGAAAATTCAATGCTGATTTGTTTTCGTTTCCCTCTAGTTGGACAGTGCCACATCTCTAATCACAGCTGCCAAGAATCTTATGAATGCTGTCATCTCCACAGTCAAGGCATCTTATGTTGCTAACACCAAGGTACTTCTCTAGACTTTACTATTGTCGCGTGGGATGAGTCACAGTATCAACTAGGAGACTGTTAAAGACCTTTACTCCAGGGGGCGCTGTGGGGGAAGGGGGTTCTGTGGCTTATTACTCTCGACCCGGGGTGGGTACCCTGGGTTACTGCCTCTTGACACTGGTTCCGTTTACAGAGTTACGAGTGAATTTTTGAGGTGGCCCTCAAAAAAACTAGGGGATAATTAGGGCTGGAGGTGAGGTAGTGGGAAGGGGGGGGGGCCAAGACAGACTAGCATTCATTTAGGGGAAGTGGCGATTTATGTAGTTGCTTCGTACTGTAGAATCGTTAGTCAAATCGCTAGCAGTGTGCCCTATTGGCCCTTATGCATGCAGATCTACTTTTGAGGTCTATATCACTGATTTGGACCGACCTCTCCCCCCCTACCCCCTTAATTCACCCCAACCAGTTGTGGTTGTTCCTCATTGACACACGAAAAACGGTTTGGTTATTTCATGAGTTTGCTGTCGTTAAATTACGTTTTTTTTTTTTTCATCTGCAGCACAAGTCAGGAGAAGCGAGGGTAAGATTTCTAATTGAATTTTGATTTTTTTTTCCTTTTTGCCTTAGTAACTAACATACCTTTCTTCTTTCGTAAAATCCAGACTTCCAGTGTCACATGGCGCATGCGTGCACCTGAGAAGAAACCCCTGGTTAACCTTGATAAAGATGACCGCATACCGCAAGTACAGCGGGCCGAGAAAGTGAAGCAAGAGTCTCCGATACAAGCTCTGTCGGAATTCGACACTTCGGAGATAAAACGACAGCCCGACTTCTACTAGTCGGGAAATTTTCCTGGTCGGGCGAATAGCAGCAAAAGTAGTTTGAACCCTTTCTGCAACGTTGAAGAATTGTTCAGCAAACCTGCTGGAAGTGAATGAGTGAATTTGAAGTCGGATGACTGTAGAAGCCCTTGCTGCACCCAACTTTAGAGCTGAAGTTTTTCTGTAGCTAGTCTTTCTGAGCTTCGAAGATTATTTCCAACAGGATTAGTCCCTCGTATTTCTGTTAACTTTTTATAATGATATGTTGTAGGTATAGTAGGTTTTTAGTATTTGAGCCCAGATGATCTTATGGACAAGTGTGAGTTGAATCCCAGATTCTCCTTAGAATGGTTGTATAAAATGTGTTAGAAACAGCAGGGAGAATTTGTCCATGCTGCTTTAAAGATATGGAATTTGCACAGCTGAATGTTTGTGAAGCTCAGCATAGTTGTAAATATGTTAGGCGGTCTAAGGTCGGTGCTGATTGTATGTTTTATGTTATTTTTAGCTTATTTAACAGACCAGTCGGTTCACAGCGGTGGCCAAACACAAAAATGCACCCGCACTTAGGGTTTTCGAAGCCTCCAAAATTGTAAGAGTTTGAAGCGAGAATGCTCAAGACTTTTGCAGGGAAAATGTTCCAAAAATACGATGGCCAATAAACTTGGCGGACAGCGATTACTAAATTCTACGTATTTGCCGCGTATCAAGTCTAACCTTTCAATGACTGTCTTAACTTTTGGCTGAAGAGTAAGAAGAATTTCCAAAATTTGAGCCGTTTACAAGCGGCAGTTTTGGCGGGAGCTTTTTGGGCACAGTGCGTTTCGGAGTAGCTCGTGAGCGCTCGCAATAGTTTTTGATTGGCTATTAGCATTCGGAAACTCGTCGAAGGTTTGCCAAGGGCGGCGCTTTTTCCTCCGACTAACACTCGTCTGTACGATCATAGCGTAGCAATTAGTAACCCCTTGGGGTGGTGGAGTGGCTCCTGATTGACAGTAACGGGGATGTGAAGCCTAAAGGTTCCAGAATTTTGTACGACGAGCATGTTTCTTCCCCATTACCCCGTCCCTCAGGGATACGGGTTCTAGCGCTGAAAACAAGTTAGACTGGTTATTTGTAGCTACAAAGTCGAGACAAGTGGCATAAATGAAGGTAGTATTTTTGTAACTAGGTAGTGTGATTATTAGAATTGCATGCAATGTCTTCACTTTAAAAAAAAGAGAGAACACTGAAGTTTAACGTTGTTCTGTAGGAAAGTATGTGGCGAATGACAGAAAGGTGTAACTGGATTAGAGAAGTTTAATCCCTATAGAAAGGTTTTAGTCCAAAATTGAAGAAACATTTCCTGTGTCGATCTTGAAACAGCTTTGAGTCGATTTGTAGTTAAGCGAAACTTTGAAAACGTGTTTGTACAATACGAAGTGACTGCAACATGATTGTCAGCAATAAAGTGTGATCTGAAAACATTTGTTTATTAGTTTTGCTAGCTTTTATAACACAATAAACGTACTTCAACGCATTGACATTCTAAACTAGTAACAGTTATATATCAAATAATTCATATTATGCCTTGAGACTCAACTAACTTGCTTAATCGTAGCAAACACGTCATTTTGCATGGAATTTTGAAGCCGAATGCATGCATTCAATACAACAGTGACACAGAATTTGTGGATATTC